TGACAATCTCATAGTTGGCTGGGTGCAGTGGCTCTTGGCTGTAATCCCAGCACTTTGGGAGGCTGAGGCAGGAGGATCGCTTGAAACCAGGAATTCGAACCAGCCTGAGCAACACAGTGAGACCTTGTCTCTACAAAAAAAAAAAAAAAAAAAAATTGTTTTAAATTAGCCAGGCTTGGTGGTGTGCGCTTGTAGTCCCAGCTACTCAGGAGGCTGAGGTTGGGAGGATCACTTGAGTCCAGGAGTTTGAGGTTACAGTGAGTTATGTTTGCACTACTGAACTCCAGCCTGCACAACAGAGGAAGACCCTGCCTCTAAAAATAAAATGAAATAAAAATCTCGTTGCTTATATAAATGCTTGACAACACTAAATATAGCACACAGAAAAAGAAAATTTTATTTCCTTAATGCCTAGAATAGGGGATACCACCTAGAAGGTTGTCACTTAGGTTTTCATTAAATACTGAATTGAACTAGATATAAAATTCTAAATATTCTGCTTTGGTCTATGAGAATTGAAGGGAAATACAGTGATGTCTACATATAACAGTTTAACTAGTCTCAAACTGAAGAACAAGTATCTCTTCCTTACATGGAGACAAGTATCTGCAAAAGTTATGGTGTCAGTAGCAGGCGTAGGGCCTTCTCAAATGTATTAAACTAGGTTTATAACTTCTTATATTCAATGTCATTCAAGTATTTTATAACACCTAAATTTTGTTTAATTAATTTTTCAAAACATTTTCACAACTCATTTGATGTTTATAACAACTTTGTTAGCCCAGATAGTCTAATTTTACAAATGAAGAAATCAAGCTTCAGAAAGATTTAAGTCCACAGTCATATATGGAGTAAATGGGAAAGCAGGGACCACCAGCCATGCTTTCACCACAGCAAACTGGGCTTTGCTATAAAACTAATAAAACTAGACAGTCTAAGATATGCAAGGTACCTCATCTGAACAATTCTGATATATCGCATGTTCTCACCTCCACGTCTTTGTGATTACATCCATTACACCCCTGTAAAACATGTGTTGATCCTGAAGACGAGCTCTCAGGACTTGATATGGGTATGTTGCTGCTACAGCAAATATTTTGGATAGTGCTGCAACAGATATATATTCTACTGTGCTCTAAAATGACAACACAAAACATTTGTATTTTTCTTTAGATGGGATTTCTTTAAAAATATAGA